TAACCTCCGGCCAACCACTGAACGGGATTCAACACCCTGATGATTATATGGTTCACTACTCAAAAGAGCCGAACAGATGGAGTTCATTCTCGGTAGTCGTAACCCACCATGACGATTGCAAGAGGAAATGTTCCTCTTCGTGATGGATCCAGCATTTGTCCGACGTTCGCAGAGGGGGAGGAGCCAAAAGGGAAAGTAAGTTGAGTGGACTCCATCCGCCATATTGCCAAGCCACACCGCCAACCGGAAACGGGTCAGGATCATGGTATGGACCAATGAGAATGGTCCCTGGCTACTGGAGAGCAGCATCCGCGGCGGGCAGGCGGCGACCAATGGGAATAGTGCGAGAACACGCCATCGCTCCTACTGATGGTGAAAGATGGCCGGTCCACGTGTGGGCGGCGCGGTTTAGTCCAAGTATCGGCTGGGCCGTTCTGTGCTCTTCCTCCCCCCCCTTGTTGAGAATATGGAAGTTCTCCGTAACTATGAGGTCCTTGGTACCTCCCCCCCGTTTTTCCCTACTGTTTGCCTCCTGGACTGACTTGCCGCCAATAACTAATCTCCCTTTCTCTCCCACTTTATCTATTTAGTACGTACTCTATCTCCGATGCCCGGATGACGAGTACACATCTCGTATCGGCCTGGACTGCCAGAATCGGTTTCTCCCTGAGGAGCTACTCTGCCGATCTGAATAAATTTATTTCAGGGTCATTGAACATTCTGCTGTGTTCTTATTGTAATCTGGTATAAATTAAAGTCGATTTCCACATGTGCATGGCAACAATATATCCCTGGGTGTCACGAATATACTGCTAAGCAAGCGGCAGTAATACAAGCGGACGGGACAGTCTTGACTACGTACCACCGTTTATTTCCTCTGTAACTGTGGATGCAACAGATTTGTAAGACCAAGATTGCCTTTCAGCTTTTCCAACGAGACTTTGCCGATGTGGCTTGGCACCGTCAGTAGTCATGGAACTGCTGGAAATCAAACTTCTTTCCCATCAGATAAACATGGAAGCCCGACAAGACAGCTTCCCTGCTACTTGCTGATCTACAATTCCATCGTCCATCTAGCACGGCTCACCCAACCCCAAATGGAAAGAGATATTCTGTTCTCTAACAGGTCATGTTGACGGCGGCTTCAGGCCGTAAGCACCACCGCTTCTAAACCTTGTTGATTTTCTCCATTCCATTACCAACTGCATTGGCTCAACAAACTACTTAGTATCCAACCCAACGCCGCATCTATAAATTTTATGCGACCAGGATGTCTCCTCGGAGCAGCCACTACCTTCCATCCAATCAGACAGACCGTGCTGACCAGGGAGTGTCTCAGAAGGATTGCCCGGCGTAGCCGGTGCATATGTACCTAAAAAATAGTTGCGAGCTAAGCAGATTCCCCAGAATTGCGCCATCGATCTTATCACTGCGTGATGCGGCTGTCCAGGGACATCATTGGAAGATTAATTCGATGTGGTTTGATGTATGCCTACGAAGTATAGACATCGAACGATTCGGTGAGCAGCACGACCTTCGGCCCGACCGTGTCCAAAATAAATGAGCCACTTTCGTAGATTAATCTCTCATTCTTCTGACTAACAGCGGGTTCCTCTTCCGCAATAGTTGCCATGTTCGCTTGGCTGCGCGGAGATACCACACCTTTTTCCGTCCATCTTTACTAGTCTACTACACCCCTGCAGCTGTGGCATCCCCGTGGTATGGACAATCATCCATCGACCGATGAATCCCTAACCCATCACAGTCCTACCCTGATCGTATTCCGATGCTTCCTTTTCCTCGCAGACCTATCAGCGCGAGGACATGTCAGACAGAACCCCGCCGCAAATCCTACTTACCAAAACACTTCAACATATTCGACGTTCTCGTGGCCGTACTTGATCAACAGAAAGTCCGGTCTGCTGACAAGAACTATACAGCACATGCGAACATTAGAGCCTCCTCTATCTAGCAGGAATGCGCTCATCGTACATCAAATCTATCCAGTCGCCTCCTAAGAACACCCATAGAAGGAGCTAAGCGAGACATACGGTTCTGGCACAGACCCAGACTAACTGTCAACAACAGTGATCTGCAAACCTTGATATCTATCCATCGAAGTCATCCATCTAAAATTCAATAAATGTCTTATGTGACAGCCGCCAGTCAACCTTACCTCAACAAAGTTGCCATAACCCCACTACCATGGGTTCAATAGCTTAGGGTGCTTGAACTGTCCGTGTGACAATATACTGCATTTATCTGAAGCAGTTCTAACATATTTCTCTGAGAGTCTGGTGTCTCACTGCAGAAAAGGTCACGAGTTTACAAGCGACCTGCAAGTGCTTTGTTGTCCGTGTCCTTGCAGAGCACATGACCGAGCTTGGGTGTGCCCCTCCAATGAAATATACTAACATTACGCTCGAGAAATCCCACAAGTCAACTAACAAGCAACCCGCTAATATACGATACTAACCGATGTCATCTACGTATAGCGTCTCACTTGGGTCGAACTTTTCTCTCATCATCTGCTCAACAAGAAGCAAAGACTGATGGAAGGGAGTGCACAGCTTATGCTTTTCACAATTCCATCCTGCACCTCAAGGATGCTGCTGGAGGGTTACAGTGCAGATTACCATGCTGTGAGAGGCTCTAGCAACATCATCTGCCGTATGATACAGCCCGGTTCTGAATTACTGACTCTTGACTCTTCGTGAGTACCTCAGCACATCTATCTCATTACGATAGTCATATGGCGTAGGAAGGAAGAAGAGGAGCTCGCTTAGCTAGACATACTTTGAAGTGAATCTCACGGGATCAAATATGGAAAAGAAGTTTCTTATGCACGAAGAAATTGTCATTGAATTGAGTATAATGAATTATGTAGTGCTCAATGACGCCGTAAGGAAGATGAACATCGAAGCACTAGGAATGATGCTAGACTGAGTTTCTACGATATAAAACACATGATACCTACTGTTTCTATATTGTCTGTGGTGCTACTATAAGACTGGTACCTCATTTCTCTACGAACCACTGCTTCTTTGTATAGTAGTAATGGAATAATAGAAAGTAAATTGCATAGACCGCTAGCAAAAGCATTCCAATAACTCGTTGACGGTTGACAGGTATATACATTCCTCGCGACGAGTATACTATTATCTATTCGCAAAAGACCAAACTTTTTACTCTATCTCCCCCTTTCACTCATCTTCACCCTTCCTCTTCCGGAGATGTCCCAATCCATATAGTGAGTCGTTCAGTTCCTTCCGTTGCTTCTCCTCCGTGGTGGCTGGGACTTCTTCCGTGCCGGTGGAGTTGATCTTATCGGTCACAGACGCTGCGGTCGGCTCCCATGCCAAGCTGTCGCTGCCGATCTTGACGTGGAATGCTTCAACCAGGGTGGAGGGGGAGGCGGGGCTGGCTCTCCATTCTTGAGTTGAGTCAGGCTGGCGGATAGAGTCGACAGAGACAAGGATGGTGTTGTCTTTCTCGACGGGGGTAAGATCGAGGACGTTGCCGGAGAGTTGAATGGAGGCTTGTGTTTTCAGGGTGCCGTCGGATTCCAGCGTGAAGCATTGCAGACGGGAGGATCTACTCCGGTTAGATTATGTACTCGTCGGTAGTAATTAGATGGGAGGTGTAAAGGAAACTCACCCGTGAAGTGCGACAAGGATGATACGCAGGTCTCCAAGGGTCGTCGCCCAGATACCCTGCACTGCAACCTCTGTAGCTTCCGATGCCTCGTCTACCAGGGAGACCTTCTGGAGAATACGGCCTTCAGCCCAGTTCCAAACGAGCAGGTAGTTGTCGCCTCCACCGGAAATGAGATACTGGGGTGCCCACTGAGGCACACAAAGCTTGCTGATGAATGAAGTATGGCCCAAGCAGTAGTTTTCAATGACGTGGGCCTGAGGGGGACCACGGGAGACACGGATATGTTCATCTCGGTCCGCGGTCAGGATGTAGCTGCGCTTCTTGTTCTCATCCACCGGAAGCGAGACGTAAGCCATATCCGTGAGCAGCGACACATGGCCAAGCAAGACTTTGTGTTCGAAAGTCGGGCCAGAGGACTTCTCATCCCTCTTTCCTTCGCTGGCTAGACGCAATTGTTGTTCCAAGGCTCGTAAGTTGCCCTTCGTATGCACGGTCAGGTTTGTTGCCGCCGGATGGCTAAGTTTTGCGCTTCTGAGGGCTTTCGTAACGACAGGAATCTTGTCGCCTGGGATCAGTGGCAATGAGTAGACATCTCCAAATTTGTCACCACACAGGATAGTGTTGTCGTCATCAGTGAGGGTAATGGCGGAGGGTCGCTTAGGCATGGCTCTGTATAAAGTATGAGTTTCCAGATCCTGAGCCAGAATTGATGGAGCAGATATTCACTCACCTCTCGCTCAGCTGAACAAAAGAACCATCTTCCTGAAGCTGGAAGACACGGACGCACTTATCTTCGGCGGTAAGCGCAACTACGTGCTCGCCGTTCGAAGTGCCAGTTACTATGGGGATGTTTGACCAGGCAGGCTTGTCAATTGATTGAGGTTCTGACGATGAGACCTTCCGCTTCTTCTCTGGGGGTCCCTGCTCGGGAGTGGACTCTGCGTCAACAGGGTTGGTTTCACTCGAAGCGACATCTGCTGGCCAAACCGCCAGTCGCTGGCCAGTCTCTGCGGAGTAGGAGTACAGCTTGGAGCCCGCTGACCCTATCAGAATGTTCGTAGGCGACCTCTGCACCAAGCGGAGGCACTGCAAGGGATGTTGAAATTGCGCAGACATTTTGGAAGAATCGACTGAGAGTGTAAACGAACGAAATATAGAAACACAAAGTAAGGCCTCTTCTCCGCCGTCGCAGTAGATCGCCGTAAAAAGTCGATGTCCCGCCGCATCATGGCCGCATCTCCGCGCTCCCGACCGCCTTCCAAACTGGGCCGAAGGAAAGCGGGGCACACGTGACTGGGAAACAAGCGAGGCCACAACTAAGAATTTCCCAAAATCGACGCGACCTTCCGTACTTTTCGAACTTCATCGTCACGATTCAGATCGGACAACCACGAAAGTCGAAACATTTCACTTGCCCTTAAACATCCTATCTTCAGCGAATTAAGGAGACATGGGGGGCAAGTCTGCTACCAAGGCCGCTTACTTCGAGAAGCTCAAGGCCCTTCTCGATGAGTACAAGACGGTCTTCATTGTCGGTGTCGACAATGTCAGCTCTCAGCAGATGCACGAGATTCGTCTGAGTCTCCGTGGCGAGGGTGTCGTCCTGATGGGTAAGAACACCATGGTATGTGAATCTCTAAATCACCAGTGGTTGATTTGCATGCTGATGAATTTTTAGGTTCGCCGTGCCATCAAGGGCTTCGTCAACGACAACCCCGAGTACGAGCGTCTGCTCCCCTTCGTCAAGGGTAAGTGAAGTTGCTTTCAGAGTATGCAATGATATCAATTGGCTAACTCCCGCTCTTTTACACAGGTAACGTTGGTTTCATCTTCACCAACGGTGACCTCAAGTCCACCAAGGAGAAGATCCTGGCCAACCGTGTCGCTGCTCCCGCTCGTGCCGGTGCCATCGCCCCTGGCGATGTCTGGATTCCCGCCGGTAACACCGGTATGGAACCCGGTAAGACCTCTTTCTTCCAGGCTCTCGGTGTCCCCACCAAGATTGCTCGTGGTACCATTGAAATTACCACCGACCTCAAGCTCGTTGAGGCTGGAAGCAAGGTCGGTCCCTCTGAGGCCACCCTGTTGAACATGCTCAACATCTCTCCCTTCACCTATGGTATGACCATCCAGCAGGTCTACGACCAGGGTCAGTGCTTCAGCTCTGCTGTTCTGGACATTGAGGAGTCTCAGCTCCTCGAGGCCTTCTCCAGCGCCATTAACACCATCACCACCATCTCCCTGGCTGTTAACTACCCCACTCTCCCCGCTGTCATGCACTCCCTGGTCAACAGCTACAAGAAGGTTCTTGCCGTTGCTGTTGAGACCGAGTACAGCTGGCCCGAGATTGAGGAGCTCAAGGACCGTATTGCCAACCCTGACGCTTACGCCTCCGCTGCTCCTGCCGCTGCCGCTGCCCCTGCTGCCGGTGGTGCTCCCGCCGCTGAGGCTCCCAAGGAGGAAGAGGAGGAGTCCGACGAGGACATGGGCTTCGGCCTCTTCGACTAAACGTCTCGTGTCAATGTTTCACGGGATACGACTGCCATGTATTAGATACTTTTCTTGCCGGTCTTGACGATTGGGTAAATGAAAATGATTGTCATGGTCATGAAACAATGATCTTCTTTCATCTAGATAGGGACGTAGTCACGTTCCCTGATCTGATGAACTGAAAAAGGTGAGCTTTCAACAATCCTTTGGTTTTTCTAGCTTCGCATATATGCCCACTCCCCGGTGATATGATGATACATTTTTAACCCAGAGCTACTTGCTTTGACGAACAAAAACAGCAACAACAAACACTCTAATTTTTTGCTGACACCATCTCATTCAATTTGCCATTTGTCACACATTACCTTTAATGGTCCGATAGCTAACAGCTTTCTCAGGTTCACAGATCAAATGTAGCCCGGACGTAAGGCCGTCGCGCTGTTCATTACCACAGAGGCTTGTTCTGTGGTTGTGTACAAGTAGCGGCTAGAAGAGCGTAGTACATGAGGCTGTTGTTGGCTGTGAAGGATGTCATGGGCATTGTATTGGTCGCCGCTGTCAGGGCGCGTGGGAGGAATATTTTCAATACATATAGCATATTACAATGAAAGCAACATCACATCAGTGCATAGTAATTTCAAATTGCGTAACATATTCCAATTGACGTAGATCAAGCAGATGTTCCAGGCTTTCGAACAGTTTGAAGCTTACCTGAGCCACGGAGGACGAATCGAGTTCCGGCCCGAGGCCGCGAACGGTGGCAGGACTTGCATGTCGCAAGCCCCTCCTCCGCAAGGTCCCCTCCATCACTCCCACATCCCACATCAAAATGCAGCATCAATTCGAGCCATTGAAGAACGACCTCTTGCTGAGGGCAGCTAGGGGTAATTTTGACCTCAAACCATTATATTCCAAGAGATGGGACTGATATCATTGCAGGCGAGAAAGTCCAGCGTCCTCCGATATGGGTTATGCGGCAAGGTACGCCTCTCTCTACAAACTCCTCGTTTTGCACTCTTTCGACACTCGAGTAAATTGATTCTCTCTGTTAACTGACCATGTTGTGCTTCTTATATAGCTGGCCGTTACCTCCCAGAGTATCATGAAGCCAAGGCTGGCCGCGACTTTTTCGAATGCTGCCGCGACCCCGAAGTCGCATCGACGTTGACGCTCCAGCCCATCGACCGCTACGCCGGACTCATCGATGCCGCGATTATCTTCTCCGATATTCTGGTCATTCCCCAGGCCATGGGAATGCAGGTTGAGATGGTCGACAAGAAGGGTCCCCATTTCCCCGAACCGCTCCAGTCGCCCGATGACGGACAGTACGAGAAAGTGATGCAGAAGGAGGTGGATGTCAAGTCGGAGCTCGACTACGTCTACAAGGCTATCACCCTCACCCGCCATAAGCTGCAGGGTCGTGTGCCGTTGATCGGCTTTTGCGGTGCCCCGTGGACTCTGCTGTGCTACATGGTAGAGGGAGGCGGCACGAAGCTGTTCGTCCAGTCGAAGAAGTGGATCTACAAGTACCCCAAGGAGTCGCAGGCTCTCCTGCAGAAGATCGCCGAGATCTGTGTCGAATACCTGGCGCTTCAGGTTGCTGCTGGTGCTCAGCTGGTACAGGTCTTCGACTCCTGGGCGGGTGAGCTGTCTCCGGCCGCTTTCAAGTCGTTCTCTCTTCCCTACCTGCGTCACATTTCGGCGAACCTGCCTAAGAAGCTGAAGGAGATGGGACTGGAGCCTGTCCCCATGACTGTCTTCGCGAAGGGTGCGTGGTTCGGCCTTGAGGATCTCTGCGAGTCGGGCTACAACGTTGTTGGCTTGGACTGGCTGCATGACCCCGCTGAGGCTAGACGGATTGCCAACGGTCGTGTGACGATTCAGGGTAACGCTGACCCCGGTGTTCTCTATGGAGGTCGCGAGGCTATCACGGAGGCTGTGGAGACCATGGCTCGGGGCTTCGAGAAGGGCAAGCAAGGCTGGATCGCCAACTTGGGTCACGGTAAGCACTTCCAGCAACTGGGCGAATTGCTACAATGCTAATGTTACACAGGTGTGACTCCTTTCGTCAACCCGGATGATCTCAAGTTCTTCTTCGAGGAGATCCACCGTCTGACGGTGTAGATTGGGGCTCAATGCGACCAGAACTAGCTTCCAATTCTTGACTATGTACATGAGAGCCTAGCCAGCAATATCATTGACACCTTCACGAAATTCAAAAGCTCAGACGGAAATGTCCTCGTTCCTGCAAAGACGTCTCACAGTCAGCTTACGTTCCAACAAAAATCTAAACCATTCCCATGAGATGCATGGGAAACCTACCAAAGCTCCGGCTTCTCCTTCATAAACTTCTCCATCAGCTGCTTACACTCTGCGTTGTCCAAAACCACAACCTCCTTCCCGCGGCTCTTAAGGTAGTCCTCACCACCCATGAAGCTCTTGTTCTCGCCCACGACAACGCGCTTAACCTTGTAGAGGATGCAAGCACCGGTGCACATGTCGCACGGCGACAGGGTAGTGTACATAGTAGCGCCCTCGTAGGCCGAAGCGGGCAGACGACCGGAGTTCTCGAGCGCGGACATCTCAGCCTATGATCGTAGGAATTAGGATGAGTCAGAGCCAAATAACCACTTGAAGAGGGGATGGGCTCAACGAACATGCAACACCGGACTACCCTTCTGGACGCGCATATTGTGACCGCGGCCTAGAATCTTGCCATCCTTGGAGACCAAACAAGCTCCAATGGGCACACCACCCTCAGCAGCGCCTTGCTTGGCTTCTTCCACAGCAGCAATGAATCCGGCGTCAGACTCCATGATGGTTTGTGTTTAATGTGAAGTAATTGAAATATGGAATATAGAGCGATTGGAGGGGTAATGGGAGAGAAATAGATAGATAAAAAGAAGATGGGGTAGCATCAAGCCGGAGCAAACTCTGTGTGGTTAACTGCCGGACTGACCCGCATCGGGCTGGACGTGCGGAGCTCCATGATAATGAAAGGGGAGATAGGTGGCTGTCATTGAGATAGGGGATGTTGATTACATTCGTACTTGATAATAAATTCATTGACTATGTGTGCATGTGATAGACTTTTCTTGGGTTATGGTCATGCATAAGGTGCTTTTTCGAGGGTGCTTGGGGATCGACATGCATAAGCGCAAGCCAGATGCTTGACATTTCATGTCTCGTATAGAACTATAACTTAATGTGGTATCCGTTGATTGTATATGAGACATCTTATCTAGACCTATAGAGCCGGATGGTAATGCCCTTTTTCTTGCAACCATTCATTCACAATCTAATATGTTACAAGATCAGACTAGCAGTGGCTGATAGACTCGGGGTCATCCCGCGCAAACCCCATGCCACTCACTATCTACTAGTAGTATCTCCTCTTATCGCAGAGATCAATCTCTGAATCTTTGCTCCACCGTCATGGCAAGAACCATAGAAATTGGCTTTATTCCTTGGTGGTCTGGTAACCCGGACAATGAATTGCCTCTACAGCAAAAGAAACCGTAGAGTATACGGTACCAGGCATTTGCCAGTTAAACCGAAGCCCACCGGCAATTGGCGATCGCGAGGAATACTAATAGTATTCTCCAGGTGGGGAAAATTCCCGACAGGCTTTTTCTTCCCCTCCTTCCGCATTGGGCTAATCGCCTCTCCTTCTTATCGATAAGCCGACAATCAGCCACCGCCCGCCACAATCCCGGTGCCTGAGGCAAAATAAAAGAAAAGAATCTGTGACCTGGAGACAAGGCAGATCCGGGCGGCTACGTCAAAGTTTAATTTTGCAGTTTCCTTTTTTTTTTTCTTTTCTGTTTTGGATTTTACCATTGTATTATACTGGGTAGGTATTTTTTACATGTAAGATGGGAGTGTTAAGTAGTAAGTGAGTGTGGGATGGAGGGATGCCACACCATACACAGCATTTAGTACTTTAGGGTGAAGATCCTCGTGAACTGTGTATGATTGGACTGTACTACCCAGGCAGACCCTGTCGCATACTACCGACTTGTGGAAAGGAGCAGCTTCCTTTAGGACCACCCCTCCATGCTGTAGTAGTATCGAATGAGATAGAAAGGAAAGTCCCGGTGATACATACAACTTTTGGGCAAACACCCAGAAAATGGATGCAACCAACACTCTCTCCACGGTCACGAACCGGTAATTACCAGGGCGATTGTCAGCGATGGAAAGGCTGCGAAAGCGGTGGAAGGACACAGAATCGCATCGAAGCCGTCGGAAGGAGCGCTCGGACCATGAAGGCTGCGGGTGACGGGGCTTGTCGAAGCAAAGAGAACAACTCCATTCAGCCTGAGACGTTGTCATCGTGGTCATGACAATTTGTTCAAAAGCATCCGACGATCTCTCCTTTCGTGTTAAGATCTGATCCTTTCAGATTCCTCTCTCAAATTCCATTCCCAGCCAGTTGAAGCGCGGTCGCTCATCTTCTCCAGCACTTCTATACTTCCCGGAGTTTCGCCCCATCGTATCTCCGGTATTTGATACACAAATCTCGAAATTCTTGGCGGGACTTCACTGCGCTCGTGCGGCAAATCAAAGGTCGATTGGTGCCTGGTCCTGGTAATCTGATTACACATACGATACCCTCTCACTGTGTCTCAGCCGCCGCCCTGTCGCCGCTTTCTCTCTTCTCTGGCTCTCTCTCCTGGCTTTGATTATCACCCGGACGGACCCTCTCTCTCTCTCTGTCTCTCTCCAACTCTTCCTTCTTCCTTCCACCTCTCACTTGTCCCCCTCACGCCTTCGAGACTCCTCTCCCCTCGTCTCTTTAACTCCTCCCTCTTTCTCAAGGACTTCTCTACACTCCTTGGTTTTGTGCCCTCTTTGTTTCACCTGTTCCATACCCCGGTGTAAGGTTTTCTAGGATCGGATTGTTCCGTTTCGTCCCTCCGAAAAGTTCTTGATTCTTCTTCATTTTCCCTCGGCTTCTCCTCGTCGCCCAACTTCCCTCTTCCGATTTTTTTCTCTTCTAGACACAGATCACAATGGTCAAGGAAACTAAGTTCTACGATATCTTGGGGGTATGTTCTGGGTTTTCGCCAAGCCTGGCTGGTTTTGCATCTCACAGAAACTAACGGTGAGGCGGTTAGGTTCCCCCGACGGCTTCTGAGGCCCAACTGAAGTCTGCCTACAAGAAGGGTGCTCTGAAGTACCACCCTGGTAAGTACGAATTTGAAACGCGAGAGCGGTACTTTTCACGAAATATCTAGGGGTGTGTACTAACGCGACTTCTTCATAGACAAGAACACAAACAACCCCGAAGCCGCTGAGAAGTTCAAGGAATTGTCTCACGCTTACGAAACCCTCTCCGACCCCCAGAAGCGTAGCCTTTACGACCAGCTTGGTGAGGAGGGTCTTGAGCATGGCGGTGCTGGCGGTGGTATGGGCGCCGAGGACCTTTTCGCTCAGTTCTTCGGCGGTGGTGGTGGTTTCGGCGGCATGTTCGGTGGTGGCATGCGTGACCAGGGCCCCAAGAAGGCTCGTACCATCCATCACGTTCACAAGGTCAACCTCGAGGATATCTACCGCGGTAAGGTCTCGAAGCTGGCCCTTCAGAAGTCCGTCATCTGCCCGGGTTGTGATGGTCGCGGTGGTAAGGAGGGTGCTGTCAAGTCGTGTACCGGCTGCAATGGTTCCGGTATGAAGACCATGATGCGCCAGATGGGTCCCATGATCCAGCGATTCCAGACCGTTTGCCCCGACTGCAATGGCGAGGGTGAGATCATCCGTGAGAAGGACCGCTGCAAGCGCTGTAACGGCAAGAAGACCACCGTGGAGCGCAAGGTTCTCCACGTCCACGTTGACCGTGGTGTGAAGAACGGCCACAAGATTGAGTTCCGCGGCGAGGGTGACCAAATGCCCGGTGTTTTGCCCGGCGACGTCGTTTTCGAAATTGAGCAGAAGCCCCACCCTCGCTTCCAGCGCAAGGACGACGACCTCTTCTACCAGGCCGAGATCGACCTGCTCACTGCTCTTGGCGGTGGTACCATCAACATTGAGCATCTTGATGACCGGTGGTTGACCGTGACCGTCGCTCCAGGCGAGGTCATCACTCCTGGTATGTGCTTCCCCTCTCCAACCTCGACTTCGGCGCATCAGTCTAACGCTCTCTCTGCAGGTGCTATCAAGGTGATCAAGGGCCAGGGTATGCCTTCCTACCGCCACCACGACTTCGGTAACCTCTACATCCAATTCGATGTGAAGTTCCCCGAGAAGGATCAGCTCAAGAACCTCGAGTTGCTCGAGCAGGTCCTGCCTCCTCGCATGGAGCAGACCCAGCCCCCGCAGGACGCCATGATCGAGGACTTCGAGCTGGAGGACATCGATGGCAGCGAGACCTCTCAGGCTCGCGCACACGGTGCCGCCAACTCCATGGACGAGGATGACGATGATGTTCCTCCTGGCGCTGAGCGTGTGCAGTGCGCATCGCAGTAAACGGGGGAGTTTAGATGAGGAGTGATGATGTTGTGCTGGGGCTTGATGAAATTCGCTTATGATACCATGTGAGGGGTTTCGGCCCCGGTACTGCTCGGTTCTGTTATGTTCGTGCGATGACTTATTTCTGCGATGGCGTTTGCACTAAGATTCGGGAGATGAAATGGAGATTTCTTTTCTTTTCGTTGGATGCGTTTTCCACCATCCTCACCACCATCACGCATTGGTTTCCCATGCTATAATGTTCTCTTTTTCCTGTTTCTTTCATTGGGAATGGGGGCCTCTGGGGTTTGATGAGTGGATGAGAGACGATGTTATATGAGTCAATTCCTTTTCTCCTTGACTCCGGGGAAACATGTCGGAGGGTTGAGCGTTTCTTAGTTTATAGACTACACAGCACGGCTTGGGTATATCATGCTTCTGGGTTCAGACCTCCATGTAGCGGTATAGAGTAATCTTATGGCTATGCCTTCAACCTCTGGAAGTCCAAATAGACACACCTGATATTAAACAGCAAAGACAACGTCCTACCTCCTTCGCTTGACCTCCAAGTTTATACCCTTTGCGTGTATATGACCACTGTGATGGGCCAGAATAAGAGAAAAAAGATAGAACAAAGAAAATTACACCCAGGACACCCAAAACAGTCCGACATAATTTACTTCGTAGTATTTACCCACATATCTCGGCCCGCAAACACCCCACCACCATCACCGCACACCCCTCCACAACGAAACCACAAAAACAAAAAGCAAGAGAGAAAAAAACAAAATAAAAAGAAATGTCCTCAGGGAGGTTCGAACTCCCGGCCTTGGGATATCCAGGAAATTGAGATGTTTCCTAGTCATATTCAAAGAATGTGATATGAGACCCACGTGATAACCAACTACACCATGAAGACATGTTGTTATGTCAGCGGGGAGGGAAATTGGCTTGATATTCCCTGATTTCCCGCAGGGGTTGTTGGTGGGATGCGTACTAGTTAGTTAGGGAAGGGATAAGAGTAGGTATATGCAACCGATTGGTATGGTTTTTATATTCGGCTTTTAGGGATTGGGGATTTATTATGGTTTCCCGTGGAAGTAGAATGTATATTATTAAGGTAGTAGTAGGTAGTTGGGATTATGATAAATTACGTTGTGTATGTACTTTGTTTATGTTCGAGTAAGATGGTGGGTTTATTGGGGTTAGGTGGTGGAGGTGGTAAATGATGTTGAATCGGGATTAGTATGTAGTGACCATTAGTATACTGCCTATATCTAATTAATTTTCATACGATAGTATAAGACAGAGTTACAATAAACATAATGGGTAATATAATACAAATCGATGGCCAATACACAGGATATATGCTATTCGCTAAGACGGTTGTAAAATATACATAAAATAGTAGTAGTAATAGTATCAATTGCCATCATCACCACCCCGTCCAAACCTGCCTCCGAATCCACCCAGATCCCGACGGAAAAATTTTCCAATGTTCTTCAGATTCTCGTTCAGGTTGCCTGCGGCGGTGGTGCTTTCTCCGCCCTGCGTTTGTGTTTGCCCCAACGGTCCAGGAGTAGAGGCCGGGCTGGTCAAGGCGCCGGATATGGCGCCACCACCTGGGGTCAGGTTAGTCGTGTTGGCTGAGCTCATTGGCGTCCCGAATCGATCTACACCGTCTTTGGCGGCGGAGATGATGGCAGACCCGAGCATGGTAGGGTCGAAGCGGGTGGAGGCGCCGATGGATGCTGCAGCAGTGCCGAGACCGAGACCCTGCGAGACGGTGCCGGAGGATGGTGTCGCGGAGGCCTGCATGGCGGACAAGATGGGGTTGCTCTGCTGGAGGTTCGCTGCGTAACGATCAGATGCTCGATGGATTTGGAAGAGTTCTAAGAGGTGGTTTTGTTCCTGGCGACTGCGAATGCCCTTGATGTCGAGGATCTTGCGGAAGTTGGCGTTGTTTTGGTCGGCGATGTGGACCAGGTAGGCCTGGACGAGGGCCTCAGGAGGAGACGGTTGAACTTGGAGAGTCTTGAGGAGGGCTTCGATCTTCGCGAAGCTGGCGTTGACGCGCTTTAAGAAACCCGCTGGCGCGGGGCTGGGGAGGAGCGACGAGAGGCCAGTCTTGAGGGTGTAGGCATCCAGAAGCATCTGATATCATCTGTTAGTTCCAATGGACGTTGAAATATCAGCTGCGACGGTGAACCTACCTGCTCTGCACCGGTCTCCGCGATCGGCTTGCACTGGAAGACAGTCGCAATGAATACGTTCGATATCAGCTCCACAACATGGTCTGCAAATGCGCGGGCATACTGTTGCTTATGCAGCAGCTGCAACAATTCAGAGCATCTTGTCTGCGTCTTGGACATTAGCTCGCCGACATAGGAGCTTTGATCGCTTACGCCCTCCAGCCGGTTCCAGGGTGTGTTGCGCATCTCCCGCCAGCAGGGCTCCAGGTCAATCTCGACCTTACGCACCAGTCCTCGAACAGCTGCAGAAGCAATGCCCATGAACGAGTCCGCTTGACTTTGTAGGTCCACCGATTGTTTGAGGTTTTTGTCGAGCCTACCCTTGATCTTTTCCTCTAATTGATTGCAGGTCGTATAGCAATAGTCCGCAGTGTTGAGCACGAGGATAAGTTCCTCGGTACCTGGTACCTTCGAGGGGGTGTGACCCGTAGGCCTTTCACTGATGTAATAGAGCAGGACCTGCGCATACTGATCGAGATACTTCGCGAATACCTTCGCAAGCTCCGCAAGGCTAGCGCCAGTAGATAGCTTCGCGCACTGCTGCAACGAATGCCGGTAGAACGTGAAAAGGTCGGTGGAAGAGGATATAACAATGTGCGAGTCAAATTCTTCATCCGCTGGCTTCGCGGGTTGTTGGCGGTATTTAGGGATAAGCGCAGCCAGCTGCTTGTCCTGGGCCTCAACCCAGACGCTCAGGTAGGGCTCGAACGCCTCTGAGATGGCTTGACCAAAGACTGGTGCCTCACTCGAGGCGAACGTATCCGTCGAAGGCCGAGATGGACTGACAAACCGCCGTTCAAGGGAATGCTCAAAGTCCAGCGTCTCTTGTAGACAGGACAGTAGCAGGTTGACATCAATGGTCTGGCCATTGCGCACCGATCGGGAGAGAATGCCCTTGAAGTCCTCCCGCGTACCTTCGCAGAAAACATTCGCCAGGATTTCGTTGACCCTCCAGGAGGCAGGAAAGATGGGCGCATATTCCTCATCGTAGTTCTTCAAAATCCGCCTGAACCAGGCATACCGCCGTGAGATATTGTCCAGTGACCCGGCCTCTTCGTTGTTCCTAAAAACCTGGCGGTATTCACGTAGCTGGAAGTTGCAATACCAGGTCACCAACCTGGACTTTGCGTGATCGCCAAGCGCATCCATAACCAGGCAGCCCTCCGAGAGCACGTGCCTCTTTTGGCCGACTTCCCCTTTCGCGAACGCCAACTCGAAGTCCTCGCAGACTTGCTCCAGAAGCTCCCGTTGTATATCCGCAACGTTCCGACTGAGCAGCGCAATCTGATCGATCGAGCGATACGACTTGAAATGCGCCATCAGCTGTATGACCGCCTGTAGCAGCTGAGCACAGTCGCGGTACTGCCGCGTCCGGCCCAGAGAACGTAGTTGGTCGTAGGCTGTCGTCAGCATCTGCAATCTCTTCAGGACTGTCATCGACAGCGTGAGGTTCTTCTTCGCGTTGTCCAGCTGCTTGATATCCGCCGTCATCTCCGTAATGGCCAGCTCTGTCCTGGACGCGCGGTCGCGCACATCGTCAATCTTCTTGAAGAGCTCCGTCAAGTCAGCCTTGGCGGCCTGGATGCGCTCGACACTCTCCGCATTGGAAGTGACCTGGTCCTCGACCAGTGCGCCGATATCGTTGTCGAGCTCATCCTCATATTCGCGGAGGGACTGGGAGACCTGGGACACCGACGACAAGGTGGAGGGGTGGGAAAAGATTGAGTTCAAGTGGTCGATCGGATCGTAGTCCGCTGTGAGATTGGATCTATTAGCAAGCTTCCCGAGGGGGTATGTCGTCAATGGCAGCCCTCACCTGCGTCCAAAGGATCGAGGGGGCCCTCCCCGTTGGAGGACATTTGGCCGGGGGTGGTGGTAGTGGCGGACATTCCATTAGCTCCTGAGCGTCAACGCCAGACACATGCTGCAATGCCAGCTAGGGAGCATCCGCCAATTCAACATGTAAACATAAACCCAAGAGCGAAGGCTACCAAAGGAGTGAAAAGAACCCGAAAACGACAAGCTGTAAGGACCGCGGGGGAGGGTGTTGATGCCGGAGCCGCAGGTCGTGAAGTTGGCGACAACTCAGCCCGGCTCCGTCAATCAGTCAGTCACGGGCAGCTCTTAGTCTTAGCGCTTTGCCCGCGCCGCCGGGCCTCGTCAGCGCCTCTTGTCTGTTCGTCGGAAACAGGACAGGCGCATGATAATCCTACGTTTGAATTTTTCCATGAGGGTCAATTCTACAAGCTATTCAGAGAGATAGATGGATAGGTCAAGTGGCATCGACCTGGAAGTCATTGCCCCCAGAATCGATCCTAGGTTTCTGGTTTGATTGAACCACCCCTTGTACCGCAGCTCTCGTCTATATGGACATGAAAATCATCGTGGTCTTTTAGTATACATCGAAGAAAAATTAAAGCAATTGTAACGAGCTCCGAAGCCATTCGCCCAAGCCATGCATCAGCAATTCACAAATAAAGAGACAGTCGACTCCGATCAAACACCACCAGGAACCTCCCGACGAAAGCCGGGGATGCGAAGACCAGACCAAGTCTGGAGGAGAATCGCTCGAGAAGTTGTTCCTCGTTCATTTCGTATATCTTCTTCTTCCTCTTCGTTTTTGTTTTTCATTTTTTTCTTTTAGTAATTGGCCCTTCTCTCCTTGGTCAAATTACACTGCCGCGGGTAGAAATGCATCCGGAGGCAGTGTTCCCTGCGCCTGCAAAAGCTTATTAGCGCATGTTCGTAAGTGAAGAACACACTCTAGACTCACCTTAAGTTCCTCAAAGTTCTTCAGTGCAGCCTCCATATTCCAGCCGTTTCCAGACAAAGCCATCTCAGAGTACTGAAGGGTCATCCGAGTATTAGAGCTCATCTGAAGTACTAGCTGCTCTTGCTGGACTTGTGTGTCTGCTTTCCCAGGGGCCGGCATACCGTAGCCTTCGGGGGCACCCGGAATAGCTACTGGTAGTGCTGCAGGTGCCGCGGGCGCTGCGGGTGCAGCCGCAGCTGCTGGAGGTGCTGCTTGGGGAACGGCTGGTGGGACCTCTGGAATCCATGCCTCGTGTCCACCATAGGCTCGCAAGCAGAGAAGATCACTGACGACCCTAATTCCGCCCATACCACCACCGGGCCCGATGATGAATGTTCGATCGAAACTGCGCGTTTCAACCTTGGCCCCGTTTATCTCGTCGAACTTTCCGTGCACCATGATGAGAAGACCACCAACACCCGTGGAGCTCTGTCCAGAAATATCAGGAAGACCTGGGATGGGGTAGCACTCGATAAGCCATTCTTCCGGATGCGTCGCAATGTCAGGATGTCTTGTCGCCGGAAGACTAGTCCACAACTCGCGTATCTTTTCCGCGCCGGTATATGCCCTAGACATGCGTGCAGGGAGATGGCTGATCTTGAGAAGGTTTCTGCTTTTCTTAATATACGCATCCCAGGGCGCTGTTTCTGTTTGTTGGGCCCTGGGAGCCGATGTGTTCACATTGAGAGTGAACGTAGTGTGGTTGTCGTAGACACTGCTGAGAATGCCGCTTCGGTCGTTGTCGTAGCCCGCGAAGAAAGCCCGGACGAAGTTCTCTGCGATCTGAGAGTCGTCCTGGAAGTGTGGTGGCTGCACTGGGATCGGAGTCTTCTTCTGCGCCGCTATTTCTTCTGC